TGTGTGTGTGTGTGATGTGTGTGTGTGTGTGTGTTGTGTGTGGGTGTGTGTGGGTGTGGTGTGTGTGTGGGTGTTTGTGTGGGTGTGTGTGTGGGTGTGTGTGGTTGTGGGGTGTGTGGGTTGGTGGTGTTCTGTGGGGGTGTGTGGGGTGTGTGGGGGGTGTGGGGTGTGTGGGGTGTGTGGGGTGTGTGTGGGGGTGTGTGTTGTGTGGGGTGTGTGGGTGTGGGGTGTGGGTGTGTGGGGGTGTGTGGGGTGTGTGGGGTGTGGTGGGGTGTGTGTGTGTGGGGGTGTGGGTGGGCGTGTGTGGGTGGTGGGGTGGTGGGGTGTTGGGGGGTTGGTGGGGGTGTGGGGGGTGGTGGGGGGTTGGGGTGTGTGGGGTGTTGGGGTGTGGGGTGTGTGGGGGGTGTGTGGGTGTTGGGGTTTGTGGGGTGTGTGGGGTGTGTGGGGTGTGGGGGTGTGGGGGTGTGTGGGGTGTGTGGTGTGGTGGGGGTGTGGGGTGTGTGGGGGTGTGGGGTGTGTGGGGGTGTGTGGGTGGTGTGGGGGGTGGGTGGGGGGTGTGGTGTTGTGGGTGTGTGGGGGTGTGTGTGGTGGGGTGTGTGGGGGTGTGGGTGTGGGGTGTGTGGGGGTGTGGTGTGGTGGGGGTGTGTGGGGTGTGGTGGGGTGTGTGGGGTGTGTGGGTGGGGTGTGGGGGTGTGTGGGTGTGGGGGTGTGTGGGTGTGTGGGTGTGTGGGTGTGTGGGTGTGTGGGTATGTGGGTATGTGGGCGTGTGGGGGTGTGGGCGTGTGGGGTGTGGGCGTGTGGTGTGTGGGTGTGTGGGTGTGTGGTGTGTGTGGGTGTGTGGGCGTGTGGGTGTGTGGGTGTGTGGGTGTGTGGGTGTGTGGGTGTGTGGGTGTGTGGGTGTGTGGGTGTGTGGGTGTGTGGGTGTGTGGGTGTGTGGGTGTGTGGGTGTGTGGGTGTGTGGGTGTGTGGGTGTGTGGGTGTGGGGGTGTGTGGGTGTGTGGGTGTGTGGGTGTGTGGGTGTGTGGGTGTGTGGGTGTGTGGGTGTGTGGGTGTGTGGGTGTGTGGGTGTGAGGGTGTGTGTGTGTGTGTACGTTCGTGCATGCATGTTTCCTTGCATGTTGTAAGTAGCCGGGTTAATGTAGTGTAAGGAGGATCTATAAGCACAAGTTTCCAAAATCTATTCTGCGAACCGAGTTTGTTGAAGGTACCCATTATTATCACATTTTTTTTCCGGACGCTTTTTTTTAAGGGTTTGAGTTTTGGGTTAATAGCTTACGCAGTAAGGCTTGAGGCCCTGAGGGCCTTGGGCTCCAGGAATCTTAAAGAGCCAGAGCCCGGAGAATCCAGAAATCTAAGCCGGGCGAGTTCCATGTAAAGCATTATGGAATTTCATTACGAAACGAGGCCCCAAACAATTTTTGTGATCGGTAGCCCACGGGCCGGTCAGACTGTCTTTCGTAAGTTTGTCTGGGAACCCTCTATGATGCACAGTTTTGTTTCGGACGATTGTTATTTTAATGTTTTGTGTTTTTGGGTTAAGGGCTCATGCAGTAAGGCTTGAGGCCCTGAGAGGGTTTTGGGCTCCAGGAATGTTAAAGGCTGGAAAGCTTCAGGCCTTGAGGTCCTGAAGGCTTGAGGCCCTGAGGCCCTGAGGCGGTTCCCGCCCCCCCAATTAGTTTGGGGGGTTCGCCGCGCCATGCGTTTATAGAGTGTCCAAATTTGTTGGGAGGGAGGGGGGGGTGCCATACTAAAGACAGTGCAACATTAATGGTAAACGGCTAATGGGCAACGGTTGATGGGTTTAAGTTAACGGGTTCATGGGTTCATGGTTTAATGCATGCACTGTACCAAAAGGAATCCTTCGTCCCGTCAACTTTGCTGATTCTGCATTCCCGCCCCAGGACGCCGCACGCTAATTGCCATGGAAAGCATCAAAACATATCAAAACCCTATTCACCATGGTAAACGATCAGGCTTTGAAGCCGGTCCCGGAGATATACGAAATTTTGTGGTTGACGCTGGTCATATCACAAGCACTTCACAAGTCAAGGTGCTTGTTTGAGCATGTTTAGACGAGAAACTTTCTGGCGACAAGCCGGCCACGGAAGCTCAGGCACCCAAATGCTTGCAAGCGCGGGAGGGAGGCTCAGGCGGGCAACTACACCGGAATGCTGTTGCACGAATAAAGCTGCCAGCTGTACGATTGACTTCGGTACTGTCCGTAGGCCGCGGACGCTCTGACATCTCATCTACGCAAGCGGTTCGCAGCTTGAGGACGAGCCTGGTGAAGGTTTCACTTTTAACGCCCCACAGGGCCCAAGCCCCACCTCACCGGTCCACATAAGGTGGCTTCCAAGAAAAGCCTTCACGGTTCGCAGGCCCCATTGCCAGGCTTTCTCGCAAACCAAACACTGGCCAAACATAAAACCTTTCCCGGGAGCTGAGCTTCGAACCCTCGGGGCCCTACCGTGATACGAAGAAGCCATATCAAAAACTGTGAACATGTCCGAGATTCCTTGCGCAGCCCCCTCTCATTGGTCTACTTGAGGAACGCGAAGTCTCTCAGGATTTGTCGGTAAAAGTGACATTGTTGGGGGGACCATGAGTTATGTGGGTTGTTTTAAATCGACGGTCTTTCTCAGGTTGTGATTTACGATTGCAGGAAGGCACCAAGCTTCAGGCACAACTTGAGGGGGGCACTACCTTCTGAAACGCTTGTGTAACTGCACCGTGTCATCAGCGTCATGATCTCGAATCCAGATTGAGTCAACAGAATCCTGAACAACATGCGGACAATCAAAAACCCAATCTGCTGCTTAGACTAGACTGTGGAAACCTTGAAACGTTCTGTGTGTCTCAATCAAGCGGAGGTGCTGCCTGAAACGCGCAAAAGTGCCAACAGTGCAAAAGAACAGAATGCTACAAAACGCGAAAACGCGCGACGAAAATCGACGAAAGCAACACAAACAACGCGACAGATGCGAACGTACAAAACGCGCGAAACAGCGAACAACACCGAGAGCTCTGCAGGGCTTCTCGTGCATTTTTCGACATGTTGCTTGTTTTTCTCGTGTTGAGCACGTCTTCAAGTTTGTTGCGTTGTAAATCTTTGTCTTTTGTTTCATGTTCGACTTTTCGCACGTCTCGACGGAAACCCCCTCCCTGCCTTGCACGCATCCAGAAGCGAAGACGCCCAGAAGCCCGAAAGCCAAAAGCGAGAAGCAATAAGCGACAAGCAATTGCATTCATGCCAAGCGTCTAGACTGGTGTCGATCTCGGGGCGCCTCACATGAAATCCAAGTGAACTCGGCATCTGCTGAGAAATTTTTGGATTACTGTATGAACCAGAACAAACCCCTGTTCGACTCCGTAAGCCTCCTGCCTTGGTGGCTGCAGCCGCTGCAGAAAATCGAACCTCAACGGCCTCACCGGCTCGTAACCTTCCGTCACACTACCATCATCCGACGTGGCATCCTTAGCTGAAGCGGCAGTGGGATGCATTGGAAACAAAGGCTGCCCCCCTCGGAGGGGTTGGGCACTTAATTTGCCAATGCCTTCGGCACAACCCCAAAAGGATCAGAAAGGGCTGCAGAGGATGAAAAGCCTTTGGACTTAAGAACCAAGAGCTGCTTGCGCAGAAATCAAGTTTGCAGACACCTTAGTCGGAGCTCATAGGCTTTCCACTAAGTCGGTCCGTGTTCGCGCTCCGCACCCAACACCCCTCCTCGCCCCCTGCCCCACGGCCCTCCCCCTACCCCCCCCCCCCCCCCCCCCCCCCCCCCCTCTGGCATGGGGCTTGGCGATGTAACGCCGTCTCAGTTGCTTATACACGTCATCATAGACAAGTTAACCGCAGAAAACCAAGTCAAGTAACCAGACAGGAGAAAAAGAAAACTACCTTGAGCACAAGGGATCCGCTTCACTCGCTACGACAGTAATACGGGCCAATACAAATGAGATAAAAACAACGTGCCTGTCCATGAGCATTTTCCTCTTTAATTAACGGGCCAAGGTGGCAATGAAGCCCTCAAACCAAGACTTGCCGGATCAAAGACTTCCAGGGCTCAAACCAACCAGATGTCCAGTCCAACCCTGTTCTCTTCGCTAAACCCCATGCACTAAGTCCATTTCGCCAAGATGTGTGCGCGAATCGTGAACTACTCAAGTGCAGCTTCAGGTGGCATGCAGCGCACACTGCGTGAAGAAGATCCTCCGACAACTGCCTCGCGCAAGTTCTCGGCATTTCTCGGTTAAGTTGCCTTCATCTGGGTTCAACTCAACAGACAAAATGCCTGCGCCGCTAAGGCAAGCTGGGTAGGAAGGCAGCACGAACCAAGAAGCCAACGGCAACCCTTGCACACAAAACAACAGCGTTGCACAGCATGCCTATGGCAGCGTCAGCAGGATGTTCCATGATGCATTAAACAGCTGTCATTTCTTGGCTAGGTATGACTCGGTCTTGAGCTGAGGTCTTGCAAGAGATTTGTTTAGTTCATGAGGCCTGTAGCATGTTGCGATCGGTGAGCGTCTTTGAGCTCACTGCAAACTGTCAGTCTGAAGCTCTCTGTTCGTAGTCGTGTCTTGCTAGTAGCGGTAGGAGTTGAGACTTGAGCAACTCGGTCCCAACCTTACTCTGGGCACTACCTGCTGCTGGTCTAAACCCATTCGCTTCCACCAATAAAACGATCCCATGTAGACAATGTAGACTGTAAACCAACCCAGCTTGAGGAAGGAGTGTTTAATGGAGCGGGCGTGAGTTGAAGCAAAGCAAGGCTCAAGGCTGCCAGACTACCAATTCAGTGCATCGCATATACCGTCATACGTTATTGAGGAAGGCTGTCCAAGGCTGTTCGGGCATCATGGTGTTCTGAGGCTGGCAGTCTAGCACATTCACGCCGCGGCTGAACTCTACTATGCGAAGTGGCTTCCGGAGATTTCTGAATAGCACTTGAACTACCCTGCTCGGGGAGGAACTTCTGCGGCAGGTGTTGGCATCGCACCTTTACGAAGAAGACGTTCTTCAAACTGGCAAAGGCATGGAAGAGGTAGTTCTCACTCTTCCAAAAGATCTGCCCGAGATGCTCATAGTACATGGACCTGTTCAGCGCTGCGGCAGCGACAACATGTCTGTAGTGCTTCTTCTTGATTAGATGGGATCGGGGCTCTGGACATAACTTCAATTCCGCTCCACAAACGAGGAGCTATGGATGGGCCGAGACTGACTGGCCTGAGATGGGGCTTTGGTCGCTGATTCACCTCGCCAGTCCGTCATGGCAAAGGGAAGCTGGCACCGCATGTGCAGCATGGAAGAAGGTTGTACTATCCAGCACTGCTGCATATTGCTGTGGACCACTCACAGCCTTTCCCAGGGCCGTCATGAGATCACAGATCTCGGAGGAGGTGTTGTAGGCCTCACCTTGCCCCAGCACTGTAGCAAGGCCCCTTTTAAACAAAACCTTGAGCGCGGCGTGAAGCCCTGAGGCAGTAACGCCAAAGGTCCAGCCTCACAGGCAGACACTTCGGAGAATTAAGCTTGAAACACTGCTGGCAGGAAAAAGATATAACTGATCCTAACTTGGCTGGTGGCTCCGTGGCAACTTGCATTTGCCGGCAACGCCTTGGCAACATGCCACCATCTCAGGTCGCCCCTTTTGTGGGGGCATGCTGTGGCAGTGACAGCTTGCTGCCTATTTGTACGAGCAAAGCTGGGGGAAAAGATAACGTCAGCACTACTTCGGCAATGTGCACTGCACAGCACGCTCTGCAATGGCGACTGGGACATCGACGTCTCCAGTGTCTTGGTGATTGTGTCCACGTTATTGGGCTGTACCTGAGTGTAAGAAGGCGGAAACACGGAGTTGCTGTTGTGAAGCAAACTTGCCGCCAAATTGAAGGAGCGTGCCGCCCTAGCCGCCTAACCGCACTAGCCCGGACTCGGTCACCATTCGGCGGCCTACTGCTACCTTTCGGGCTGGGCACCAAGATTTTCGGATGTACAGAACATGCTCAAGACTTCACCTTGGGTTCAGGGCAACAAGGCAACAAAGAAAACGGCTGCACAAGACAAACTGGACTCAGCCACCACACTTCAGTGGAGACTTGCATGTCAAAAGTGGGTGCCACACGCACATCTCACCCCAAAAGTCCCTACAGAGAAACAAGACAACAACCGACAATGCCAAAGATCACTTGAAATCCACTATGTGGAAACAAGGCCTCCACAACGTCCCTTTCTGTAGAATTAAGACGAGCGTGGGCAGCAGTCTTCGAACCAATGCTACCATGCCTGAACCTTGGGGCACGGGATTCTGTCCTGTCGGACCAGTTCGCTTGGAAAGATCCTGGCAACATGAAGTGCGAAATGCAATGTAGCGTTTGCATATGATAACGCATGTTTACACTTTGCGGGATGGACGGCCTGATTGGCATCTCTCACACCAGCAACCCGAGCAACCCCAGTATTCAAGAAGTCTCCGTGAAGTTCTTTCGGAGGATGTCACAAAGGCGCTTGAACCTGCAGCGCGGGCAACATGCGCTCTTGGCAACGCAGCGCTCGTTTGGGTCACTGATCCTGTGGCCTTCTGTTATCAACTCCTACAGTAGCATCGTTCCCTCTCATCCTGGGCTTCACACTCCTGCGGGCGGGTATTGGCGCGGCAGAACTCGAAAGCTTGTCGTGAAGTCTCGTGATAGACCTGTGAAGTCCAAGCACTAACATCGGAGCAGATGCACCTACACTAGAGGTTCGAGCAGATCAAGAAGTGAGTTGTCTCTAGGTGCAAGTTTGGACGTACACGTATTTCTGCATCCCTTTATGCTTTTGCTTTGCCTTCCCCACTTGGCTTCTGTTGCTTACACAAAGCAGATTCCGTACACTCCCAACTTGACATGGACAAGCGGAATCCTGAGCCAGATCGCCAAGCAAAACGTTCAGACACGCGAACGTGCAGCAGCCGTGCCCCCACCTAAGTTGAGGAGCAGTATCAAGTTCCGACTTCCGTTGGCAACAGGTTTGCACGGCGGGCACTTTTCTCACTTTTTACCCGACTGTGTGTGATCCTGAGACCCCTCAGCGCATTGCATTGCATTGCCTTGCGTTGCCTTTGCATTTGCATTTGCGTTTGGCATTTGCATTTGCTTGTGCTTTTGCTTTGCACTCAATTGCATTGCATTGCATTGCATTGCTCTGCATTGCATTCCATGCATTGCATTGCATTTGGTAAGGCATTTGCATCTGCGTTTGCATCTGCATTTGCATTTGCATTTGTTTTGCACTCAATTGCATTGCATGATGGTATTTGCATTGCATGCCACTAGGCTGCGTTGTTTGGTACCCAATCGTTGGGGAGTAGGAGGGGCACGGGGCAGAGGGGGCATGATGATGTGGACACTGAGGGGCAGACTGGACAAGGGGGAAGTCGCACATTCTGGCCCGCTCCCCCCGAGCAACCCCCCTCCCAGTCTGCCGGCCAAACTGCCGGTGTGCTTCATGTCAGTGGCAGACCCAGCCCGGGAATTTGCAGCACCAGATAAAGCCACGTTTGAGGCTGGTTGCCTCCAGGCTGTCCATATCCAAGAGACAAGCTGTTTGCTGCAGCCACTCGGGCCAAGTATGTGTATCCACGGGGGCGGCATCCGTGCCGTGACCATGAGAATGACCGCCCGTGCTGCCAATTGACCACCTCAAACTTGCCGTGGGTTGCCGTGTCGATCTGTTTCATACCCATGGGCAGGGGGAACAGGCGACATCGCTGCAAGGGAACTCCCATGCCCGACACGCCTCAGGCAAAACGACGACGCAACCCTTGACACGGGCCTCCTCCAGTCGGCTGTTGGACTTGAGCACATCTAAGATGACCTGAACTCAACCAAACAATCCAGCCACGCTGACTCCTTTTGCATACTAAGAAACTCCCAATTCGCCCTGGCAACTTGAAAAGAATGATTCAAGACAGTCAGATCTCAAGCGTGCAATCCAGAATAGCAATCCGGCCTTGTAGGTTTCCCACAGGAAGCGAAAGTGAGTGTGCACATCCTTGTCCTGCGAAAGCTTGGACGGGGAGTGCGAAAGAAAACGGCCGGGGAGGATGAGGACGAAATGTCTACAGCAGCTAGCAGCAACTGCAACAACAACTCCCGGTATGGCACAATTGTACACGCTCACGTCGCAATTCTGGAATGACACGGTCAAAATTTTTTTAATCAGAAACTTTTCAGTGGGAACGCTATGGAATGGTGGGTGTGTTTTTCCGACATTTTTTGAGGGGGAGAAGTTTTCTTTGGGAGGGGGGGGGGGTAGGAAAACTTCTATTTTCTCTATTCTTCATTTTGTAGGAGGAAAACCTTTATCTCTATTAAGAGGAAAACCTCTATTTCTCTTTATTTGCGAGAAGAAAACCGCTATTTCTCTTTTTGAGAGAAAACCTCTTTTTTCTCTACTGCTTTTACTGAGGAGCTTGGGGCTGGGGAGGGTCGAGGAAGGATGGGACGGAAAGAAAGAAAGAAAGAAAGAAAGAAAGGATGAAAGCAAGAAAGAAAGAAAAGACCGAAACAGAGGAGGAGGAAAGAACGGAAGAAAGAAAGAACACCAAAAAACAAAAAAAAATATATAACAACTGGGGGGGGGGGGGCTGCCCCCCCCAAACCCGGGGGGGGGGGGGGCGCCCCCCCCCAAACCCCCCAGCTTTCTTTAAGCTTCATGCCCTAAAGAACTCATAAGAACCCTATTAACATATGGAGGGAATGAAGGGAAAATCAAGGAAACGGATCGAAAATTAGTACGAGCTTCGATGAGAAGCAATAAATAGCATCCTCATTAAATTTCTGGCGAATCCCACGAAGATGAGTAGGAATGTTATGAAAAATACAGAGGCCAAAGAGGTTTTTCCTGCAGAAGACTAAGAATTAAGCAAATTGAATGCGAATCCCATGCAAACAGTACGAATCCTCTTAAAAAAGCACAGAGGCACTGGAGACATAGAGGTTTTCCTCTTAAAATAAAGAAAAACAAAGGTTTTCCTGCTCAAAATGGATCTACACAATACAAGATACTATTCAAAATACTACTAGCCAGCCAAACCCTAAAACCCGAAGGTCTAAAATGCAAAGCTAGAAGCAATATGGAATCCCAAGTGACGTAGCTCGTAGTCCTCACTATCAGAATACACAAAGGTTTTTCCTGCCCCAACCCAAAAAAAACTGAGAATTCAACAAACAAAATCTGAAAAAAAAATCTCCACCCCTATGTACTGCTGCAGATGCGGTGGAAGAGGGTGGCGAAGCGGACCTGGCTCTGCTGCCGCGTGTCCCCTGCTTGGATGGCCTGCAGCAAGATCGTCTCAGGCCTCAGGGCCACGATCCCTCTCATCTCTCTGAACAGCATGATCCGAGTCCGCCCTGAGTCCGCCCATGTCCGCCCTCAGCCCTCAACATGCCGCCGCATAATCACAACCACTCACTAGGCTCGACCGAGCCCCACTTCTAAAGACGACTCTGAGGCAGCCGAACTTCTCGCTTGCAATCGCAAGCCCACTTGAGCCCAAGGATTGCGAGTGCATCTTCACGCTAACTCCTCATCATTCTTATCACTGCAAGTATTACGATAAGCATGATTCCTCTCTGCCCAAGGCTACCATCGAGATCCATCGAGTACCTTCTGTCTTTTGTTGACAAGTGTTTACAGCTTGGCCCAGGGCGCATCCATTTCCTCCAAGTCGGCCACCTTGCCTAGTCGCACATCCTCCCCAGAGAAGTTCAGAATTAGTCCAAATCGAGCGAGTTATATCATGCTCCCTTCTTTGCTGTGCACTGGCAAATCTTGAATACAATTATGGTTTTGTACAGTGTGGCATTGCTGCGTATGGCGGAGAGCATGGCATATCATGGCTTGCCCCTTGAACCATGTTGCTGCTGTCCTGCTCCTTCTTCGCTTGATTCACCTGCACTTCGAGTATCAAGCAGCCGCTAATCAAGAACTCTGCGAGGGGATGCTCTCTGGCACTGTGGGCAACATACAACTCATACAACGTAACGGCACACGGTAAGCCTTCTCTTCAGCAGCTTTCCGGAAAACTCGCACGACCTGCGACGAGGGCAAGGATTGCTCGCTTTGAATCATGCGCAGAGCATTGTAGAACTAAGTTGTAAGTTGTAAGCCACACCAGTGCTTCATAGTGACATAGTGCTTCAGTCCAAACAAGCGAACCCGTGCCCAGTGGTAGCGACCCTAGTGTCCCGCCACAAGAAATGCGAGTGCATGTGTTGGAGCCTACCTGATGCGTTCCCGGCACCCTGTCAGAAGCAGAGCACCAGCATCACCGCCTGCTCCAGCGATTGGATGTTGGCGGCTTGGCATGTAGCACGGTATTGGTGAAGACCTGCCGACTCAGCATGGCTCAGCATGGCTCAGCATGGCTCAGCATGGCTCAGCATGGCTCAGCTCCACGCAAAACAAGGTCAAGCCGGGAACCGAAAACCAAACCAAGAACAAGGATGCGACAGCGGAAGCTCGCCCGACAAGTCTTCTTAACCTCTCCTCACGTCGGCCCCGTCTAGACCTCCATTAACCGTTTAGTCTTCGCATGGCCCCTTCTGTCAAGACCCGCCCTGAAATGTCCAGTCTTGTGTCGTCACACTTGGACAACGGATTTACGTTGATGCCTCAAAGGTGCCGACAGTCACTATGAATCACTATGAGGCAGGTGGGGCGCGCCAACCTCGTAAGAGTCGTCATTTTTGGCCCGCGCTTCAGGTTGACGAGGATGAAGCAGCTGGGGTTTATTTGATGTTGATGTCTCTCGCAATGAAGTATCCGGGTTGTGCCTTTTGATGTTGACGCCTGAAAAGTGCTGCCAGTCACAAAGATGACACAACTAGGACGGGCTGTTATGGAAACGGTCGTTACTTTCGAACCTTGGTTCAGCGTTCGCGCCCCGCACACTGAGCGAGGAGGCGGGTCGGATCTCAATATCGAATTTACGATGAGAGAGGGAGATAGAGCGAGAGAGCAAACGAGCGAGAGAATACATTGTGCCTAACCAGGAACTCAGCTTCCTGAATGTAAAGGCAGTTGCATGAATTTGTTGGGCATGTAAAGTTCGAGTAAGGCTAGTTTTGTATATGCACTCAAGAATTGCAGAGAGGGCAAGAAAGAGAGAAAGAGAGCCAGAACGAGAGAGAAAGATGAGAGAGAAAGATGGAGAAAGAGAGAGAGAGAGAGAGAGAGACAGAAAGAGAGAGAGAGAGAGAGAGACATAGGAGACATCAGTTCGGATCGCGTATCGGTTGTGTCCACCGTGTACGCGACGCGAGTTTGCATTGGCGGTGTATTGACTGGAGGTCTAGCCCAGTGCCTATCGTCCGTCACCAATGCATAGGTGTCTCCGCACACGTAGCCAGCCTACGTTGGAGGTCCGAGCTGTTGAGGCTTGAAGAAAGAATAGGCTTACCACCACAATGCTTTTGAGGGCCACCGCAAAGACATGAATGAGCCAGGACGCGCGGAGGGCTGACCATGCTCTATAACCAAGGGGGCAGGAAGTGCGTCCGGCAGCAGGGGGGAATAGAGCAGTAGAGCTCTTGAAAGAAAACGTCCCAAAGCAGGTTGGATTTGGATGATGTCAAAGGGCGGCTGTGTGGGCAGGGCAGGCACCACCATTGGCTGTGGGTGCTTCCGCCGTGCCAAGGTACAGCAACTGCAGGAGTGGCATCCGAACTGCTCCACATGGTCGTGGCTGGGCTCTTGCGTTAGCGAATCCCCCTCCTGGACTGCGAGCTGGTGGCAGGCGAACGAAAAACTTCATACGCGGAAGGCTTGCAGCCTGCGGTAAGAAATGGCACTTTGCGGAGGTCCTTTAGGGCCACAGGCAAGGCCCGAACTAAGGGAAAGGACCAAGGCGGTGAGCTAGACGAAAGGCGGAGCACGAAGGGTGGCGGGCCTCGAGGCCTCGAGGGCGAGGGCCTTGATTGTGCTGAAGCAGACTTGCCTTAGAGGGCCGTAACTTGTCTTCCTGCTGGGCCAGCTTGCAAGCGATGCAAGTGTGGGTTTCTTTGCTTTGGCCGTGGCTGCCTTTGTTGGGAGGCGGGCCCCTACCGGGGAGATCCATTTGCTAACACAATGCTCGCATGATGGGGTTTGGAACGGACTCATGTGTCTTGAAGCAAGCTTGCACGGCTTAAGCCCCAAATCGCAAACATAATGCTCGCATGATGGTATTCGCAGCTTCCAAGTGCTATAAATTATACTTTTTTCTGAAATTCATAAGCTCCAAATGCAGCAACAAATCAATATTTCTGACACCGCATACGTTGCACGAACGTCCTTGTGGCGGCTATATGACATGTCATAGTGTCCGGCGTTTTGTGTTCTAACCAGCCCCGCAAGAGCACAGGTCGCGCCTTCCCGTGCAAACCGCATCTTCTGAAGCTCGACGCCTTGACAATCTTGACACTTTTGATCACTTTTGCTGCAGATCGCAGACTGGCCGTGGCATCCAAGTGGATAAGCACAAAGAACTGAATAGTCCCGACCACCTGATGCTGTTCACGCTCTGAAACTACGGTACTGGGGCTGTGGCACAACTGAAGATGGCGTTCAATAATCTTTTCCAAGGTTGGCGACCTGTTGGGGCGGCACACTCCCGTGCGACCGTTGGGCAATTGCTGGAGTCTCCGATCTTGGGAAGAGGCCACTGATTCTTCCAGCGCTTGTGGAGGATCGCATGGTGCAACGTTTCCAAGGCTTCGTTCTGCTTGCCCACCTTGCAGCAAGTCTCCCAACATTATCGCGCCGTTGACTATTCATCTCGCTGATGCAGAAACAACAAAACAGCACGTCGGGAAGTTGATACACTTGACACACTCCACCTTCCACAAACGGCTGGCACCACTCCGACAGCCAGGCCAGCAAGCACTCATGTTTCAAGGATTCCGTCCATAGACGTATTTACAAGGCTCTTTGGGCTCCATAAACCGTCCCGACTCGACCTCCCAAGGATTTCGTCCAAGGAAGCAGCCGTGGTCAAAGCCCCCAACCGGCCGACTAACGACTTCTACACTTGCCCTGGGGACATCTGAGCGTGCACGGTGTGCACATCAGCGATCTGAGCTACCATCCCGGAGGCGGTGGTCCCCAAGGCGGGGGGGCACCCCAAGGATCTGGATGCGGTGGAGGGTGGCCCCACCATGCTGCAGGAGGCGGATGGTGCGCAGCCTGCATCCATGGATCCTCAAACTCCCGGCCCCGCTCACGCTCTCTTCTGCCACCACCTTTCCTAGGTACAGAGGGATGGGAGGGCAGCGAAAGACACGAAAAACAAGCCTGCTGCATTCTACCTGCAGTTGCCAACTCTGTCCTTCCAAGTCTCTCTTTCAAGGTCTGGACAATATTGTCATGAATATCATACAGCCTTTCACACGTGCAGCAAAAGAAGCCAACATCTTCCCATCAAACACAAAACATGAAGCTGGCATTGGCTTCAGCAATCGTGGTTCTCAATGCCGGTCCTTCTTTCTAGCGCTTCTTTCAGCTTGGGCACGGCGTTGTCGTCTGCCTCCACAGGTGCAACCGACACAGCCTGTCACAGCCTCACAAAACTGGCAAGCTCCGACTGCCCCCACCTCAGCAACAAAATGCACACGCTGGGAGCTGGAGAACTTATAATCGGAATGCCCTAGATCTTCACCACGGAGGTGGATCCAAACCTGTTGGTCCAAGAAGTGGTTGGGCATCTTGCCCAAACAATGCACAGCATTTCTAAGTCTCTGCTTATCTCAGTTGTGTTGGAGCTGGGATGCCCAGTCCAGCCGAGCAGCGGCCCCACTCTCTTCCTGCAACTTCTTGATGGCATCACCCCTCGACCCAACCAGTCTGGCAATGATGCTGTCAGGGTACGTCGCAATGGTCCCATCGTTCTTCCTAGTAGTACTGAGCTGAAGTCTCGCAAGGCATCACTGAGAGACTGCAAATCAAAATAAATCAAACCAAGCATCTTTGAACGCTGTGAGGACAGCACGCGCTCCGACTCCGACCAAGAGCCAAAGCCAGCCTCCACAGCGCGAATCGCCGCGCCATGATCCCTGAACTTCACGTAGCCCTTGCGAGGGCCAGGGATCGGCAGGACATAGATGTCTTCAGTTGAACCGAAGGCATTCAGGCACGTGTCCATCAGGTCCTCGTCTGGCAGAGGGTCAACGAAGAGCTCGACATCTGTGGGAGCAGGCTCGACATCTGGCCTATTTGGCATTTTCAACTCGTCGATGTGTATGATGTGTATCTTTCCCTTTTTGCCCCGGTCGCGATCGCGGTCTCGACTGCGGGACCTTCTATGCCGACTGCGGCTTCGGGAGCGCCTCCGATCTCGCCGATCACGATCCCGATCTCTGTCACGTTCCCGATCTTCACGCCGCCTGCGCTCCTTCTCCAGCCGGGCTTTCTTCTCGTCACTGTCATCTTCACCATGCGAAAACTTACATCGGTCGCCGCGGGTGCAGCGATCCATCCGGTAGTCCTGCAAAGCAGGATCTACAAGTGACAATCATTCTTGCAATGCCTTGAAAACGAATGTTGTGTGCGTATGCACATGCCGACTGCCAACTAAACCCATGCACGCATCCATGATTGGCCTGTCCTGGCACATCTCAATGCCATCTACCTTGCGGTCAGGATAGTCCTTCCCCTTTGGGACCTCCTCTGTTTCATCGATATCATGAGATAATCCCTCCTCATCTTCCTGGACTGTCAGACTCTCCCACAAAAGCTTTGCAAAACACCTTCTGCTGCAAGTCGCTTTGCAATGCCAAGGATCCAGAACGATGTGCAAAGGCTTGCCTGCCACCTTCTGGCCCTGAAGCTCCTAAAGGTGAAGGGCAACAACTTGTGCACTCAATTGGCAAGAAGTTCTGAAATCCATATCTTGCAATTGACTTGCTCCTTTGCCGCCTCTCTTGCCGTGCCGAAATCGCGCATCCTCACACGTGCGCCACCGCTGCTGTTTCCTTCGTCCGGCACCATTTCGATGCCTGAGGCCCCCCGAGCACGGCCCGAGCACCACTTGCGAATCTTGCAGCGCCACACGCATGAAAGGATTGCATAGAACTTGCATAAAACTCGCGCTGATTCTGGACACATAAACAACTGACCGTCTCGGGCCCGGGCTGACTAGCGAACTGGGCTTCACTGTGCCATGCAGCAGTGCACCGATATCCGAGGCCTGCCATCGCAAAGGAAAATCCTGGATAAGAATAGACCCAGGCTTCCCATCAGCCACGTTCTGAATGGGTGGATCGCGCAGCTCGATGGTGATGATCGACTGCAATGCGTCCACTGCAGCTTTTGCGGCCTCCTCCTCCTCAAAAGCACCAACTGCTTTCCGATGCCCATCAATCAAGATTGGTGCCAGAGTCAACGATCCAAAGACTTCAAGCTCTTCTGTCAACTGAGCTTGCAAATCCTCGGTCGACTTGGATTCCCAGTCTTCAGGGAAGCTTGCAAGGGTCACGTACTGGCCTTTGACCAAGGGTAGTGCTGCAGCACCTCTGCGTTTCGGACAATCTTTCATTAAGTGGCCGGCTATGCCGCAGATATGGCAAGCTCGGGATTCCTGTCCCTCTACAACTCGGCCCTCGGGATGTGAGTACAAGCAGTCCGCCCGCTTGCATGCCACTCCCTGCCGGCACATGCCCTTTGAGGGATCATCGTCCACTTCACGACCTTGCGGATGGACAAAAAAACAACCCTGACGCTTGCACTTGCGTCCAAATCTACAGATGGTACTATTCGGATCCTCATCGATCCCACGTCCTGTGGGATGTGTGTCTGTGCACTGCGAGTTTTTGCAGGCCCGGCCATACTTGCATTGGATTCCACTTGTGCCCTCCCAAGGAAACTGCTTGCCCGTTGTGTTTGCAGGCATCGCATTTCCGGCCTTGGGCGCGGGACTAGGCGACGTTGCTGCTGCATTTGGTGCCACCACGGGTAAAAGACCAGGGTGGGGAATGAGTAGCATACCTGGAGGTGGAACTCCAGGAGGGCCTGGTAGACCACCAACTGGCGGAGGCGGCGGGGGCTTCAAAAGGCCTGGAACTGGAGGAGGCGGTTTCACCATCCCAGCTCCTAAAGTCGGTGGAGGAGGTGGCGGCGGCATTCCGGGCATCATCCCCGGGAGCCCTGGACCGTTTGCCATGCCTGACAAAGACATTGACATGGCTGTTTTGGCATACTCGGGAGGAAGAACCATACCTCCACATGGGCGCTGAGTGGCCCTGCTATCTCGAGCCCATGGCTGCTTGAAGCCAGTGCTTCGATCATTTCACAAGCGCACAAGCGTCCACAGGCGTGAGGCAAGCTGAGGGCTAAACGTCGAGAAGTTCCTCCGCACGCTTCAATGCATTCTCGGGCTTGACAAAACTCGTCATGCTGAGCCACCTGGTGACACACACTCGCACTCAGGAGCGTCCAGCTGCAGCAAGTGCAACTTGCCTGCAAGCAAAACTGAACCTCTGTGCGGCTGTCTACGACCTGAGCCTTAACAGGGAAAAAGCTAAAATCTTGGAGCAAAGTGCGAAGCAGCACTCACTGAGCACACGGCAATGGCAAATTTCGGCGCACAATCTGGACTTGTAGAGATTGGTACACTGCTAGGCTCGCACTGGTACACGAGCTGCAGCGCGGCATTGAAATTATAGGTTGGTAAAGCAGAACTCCTGATTGTATGCCCAACAGCCTGACATGAGCAACCTAAGGTGGCAACGGCAGCTGCCAGATCAACAGGTTTTGGTGTCTCGTCTCAGGCTTCAAAGCCACTGGCACACAACTCGTGAGTGAAACTATCGGAATCTTGAAGGCATTGCTGGACAGAGTCTACAGCCAAAACCCTCGCAAGCTCCTGCAACTCAGGTGGACCTGGCATTGGGTCCTCGCTGCTTCAGGGCCGCCCATGTGTGCCCTCAAAGCAAAACGACAGCAAAACGCGCATTGAATCAGTACCGGCTTGGAGACGTCAGTGCTTTCCGGTACATCTTTACGGCATCCGAGATGACACGGTCCCACGCAAACTCAGCTTCTGCATGAGCTCGCGTGGGTGCTCTTAAGCGCTCCAAAGCAGCGATGCACTCTAGCACAGCCCTCTTTGCATCTTCCATGTTCAAGGGTTCGTACAACTTCCCACGTATACCATCGCCCACAACTATGGATATGACTGGCAACCGGGGTGCCACAACCTCAGCTGACTGCGGCACATTGCAGCACTTACGGACATGTCACACATCACTGTAGCCGGCAGCCGGAGCACACGATGACCGGGTTAAGACCAAATGCTGAGGCCGCGACTGCTAAGCCTGCAGCTTGTGCCTCGAGGAGAACCAGATCGCAACCTCCAGTCACTGTAGGGTTGAACAGTATGTCCGAGGAGGCATAAACTTTGGCGAGCTCTTCCTTGCCCAGCCGACCTGTGAAAACCACATTGCTGAAGCCCTCCAACTGACTTCGAATATCATCATCTGCTGGGCCGCTGCCGACGATCACCCAGCGGCATTTATTCTCCAAACCATTCTCTGAAAACTTCTTGATCAAATCTGGAAGCAACTTGATATTCTTCTCGTACGCCATGCGCCCGACAAATGCAACCACGGGTAGATCCGGTCGTCCACCACTGATCCACTCTCGTGTTGATGCCGACCGCGCTTCTGGAGTAAAAATATTGACATCACAACCTGACTTCCAAAAGAACTTGCAGTCGTCATCTACATTCTGTAACCATGGGGTCTCCTTCCTCATGGCATCATCAACCATCATGTGCGTGCTGCATAAGTTGCACATGAAGGTGCCAAAAGCTCGGAGTACTGCTATTCCAATCAGCGGTCCAGGCTGTGGCAAGAACTGGACATAGTGGTCGATGCGAGTGTGATGAGACCAAACGTATGGGATATCCAGCAGCCACAGCACAAAGCTTGTGAGCAATGCTATTGGACAAGTGTCGAACAAATGGACCAAGTGCGGTCGGAAGGTCAATGCTCGAAACAGAGCCGGACTTGGCAATGTAAGCGAATGACCTGAGGAACTGATACTTCAGAAACAGCTTGTCTCTCTGGATAGCCTCCAATACACCATTTCCTGAATACACGTAAACCTGTCGGAACCCAAGCGAAGAGGCACATTGAAAGTCTAGATTTCGTACCTCTAGCGAGTTATGGCGCCGACCTGCTTTTGCTCCCTGCGCTTAGCCTGGAATCTGAAGGGACCTGTCTGCGGCACTTTTCGCAATTAATGAACGAAGCACTAAACCACAATCATCCACAATCTGAAGCCGCAACACTCTTCCCTCGCAACATCACGAAAGGCAAGGCACCTGGATAGTTGCCACTCATGCCAGCTCCACGCGTCACATCCACGTCAAACAATTTGTCGGGTCCAGCCACGGAAGTGAAAACATGCACCTGCACGACTCTAACCCGCTGAACAAACATAACACCAATGCTACGTAAAACATACTTTCACACCATGCCCCCAGCCTCATGCCCCATCTTTGTCAATTGCTGAATCGTGTTTGTAGTGAACGTTTGTACTCCGTCCATGTACGGATAAAAGCTGTCTCCGAGACACAAAATGCGTAGAGGATCACCTGGTGCTGGTCGTGGGGATTTGAAGTTTTCGCTGAGTTTCGCCAAGCCGAACTTCATCGAGAGAAGAACGACAACACAACTGCAAAACCGCCATACATTGCACAACGAGATTAAACAGAAAAGAAATGGCGCCACGGTCCATTTCAAGTGTTTGGCCAACGGGCTAGTAGCAGCAAGCTCTGCTGCCATTTTGCATGCAAGAACAGCGACACAAGCAGCCAACAAGCAAGGCTTTGTAACTTCACCAAAGTAGACGAAGGCCATGAAAAGGACCGCTGGCAAAGTGTAGAACACCGTCACAACGCTGGCGGAGAAAACGAGAATCAAAGGTGAGAGCGTCTCCTTGAAATAGCCAGCTGCCGACATTGCCTCAACGATGGCCATCTCGAAGAACACTGTGATGCAGTGCAACAGACCTATCAGGCACAGGCTCGGCATCGTGATCAAAATATCTCCGAGTTGGAAAGGATGCCATGGCAGGCGAAGGGACATCGGGACAACTAACCCGGGTTCTTTTGCCCGTGCGCAATTCCTGGATCTTCCGATTTTTGAACCACACAACATCGCACCGCTGGCGCGTACTAGCAGAAACTACCACTCGCAAGGTCGAAATACATTCTAGCTGTTTGAGCTAGCCTACCGAGCAACAAACGAGAACTGTATCGCTGTATCGCCGGACCGGCAAATTGAGGCTTTACATCGTAGAATACATGCGTAAGCACAAAAACATAAGTAAGGGTATGGGCAGCATTCTTGCCGGAGACTTTTGGTTTGTTAGCGTTCGCCGTTTCGAACAACAAGGTGGGGCTGCAAAGGACCATGATGCTCTGGATTGTATGATCGAGGAGCCCCAGAAAGCGCAAATCTGAAAGCAAAATTTCTTGAGAAGCAACTAACTTGTGACGGATGGGTGCACTTGATGCCTTGATGCTGCTTTGCTGCTCCTCAACTTGGGTGAAGGCGTCACGTTTTTCGCTAGTCCAACTCGAGTTGGGAGTGTACGGAATTTGTTTTTTTCGTGTATTGTGCGGGAGCTGCGCCTGTGCCCAGGCACTGCACACAGCCGGCAAAGGATAGACAAACAAGCTGCGCCGTGGCATGAACGCGTGTTTTTTTTTTTTCCCGCGCCCTTTTGCGTCCGCCGAAAGCGTCCCGAAACCCTACGACGTCAGCTACCTAGACTCCTACAGAGTGCTAGCGAAGCGGCAGCCGACTGGGGGCGCTCGCACTCGCCAGGTCGAGCACGTCGCTCAACGGGAGCGTGTCTGGCGCGCCAGGCAGCGGCGGCATTGTCCAGACGCCAAGCGCGGAGCTGGCGACTGCTCGCTGCAGGGCAACCGACAACACACTGCACCAGCGGCGCGCCCAGCCCTGGGCGGCTGAGGCGCGCAAGGGTGGCGGGGCGCGCTGGACGCGGAGCCGGAGCAGGGTGCAGAGGAACTGAGGACAACCAGCCGCTGAGGCCCCCCTCGCGTCAGCTCCGGGTACCGTGCGACCTTGCGCCTGCGTGCCGTAACCCCGGGGACGGGCCGACCAGTCCGAGTGAGAGGGGAGACGACCGTTGCGTCGCAGCACAAGGCCTCGCCATTGGTCGTTGCCCCATACACAACGAAGTCGAGGCGGCGACGGTCGTCGGCCCGGACGTGCGCCGCTGTGGTGCGCGACAGCCACTGCTGCGGCACGACCCGACCCTCAGGACCGACTGCCTCGCGAGCGACCTGGATCCACGCCCTCTCCACGACGAATCCGCGTCGAGGCAGCAGACCCGTGCGGGGGCAGGCGAGGTGGTGGTCTCCACACGCATCGACCTCGCCCCCACAACCATATCGGCCTGCCGCTCCACAGCGCGGGTTCGTGAGGGGCAGGGGCAAGCGAAGGCGGCGCCGCATTGCGATGTGCGTGAGGTCCGGTGCGAGGGTGGACGCCGCATCCGAAGGTATCGCGGCTAGCCACATGCGGACCGGATTGAGAGTGGAGGAGGGTTTGAGCGGCAGGAGCCAAGGCCGGAAGCAACGTGCGTTCTCGGAAGGAAGTGAAAAGTGCGAGAACGGCATGTCGCTGCCAACCAGGGCTTCCGAGGCCGAGTTCACCCTCAGCCGCTGGGACGTCAGCGCCTCGGACGCAAGATTCCCAGTCGGGTCTGCTCTCCCAGCCCTCCGCAGTAAGCTGGTGCACCGCCTCCGCAGCCGCGTGCAGGCAAGGTGCCGACGGTGCGCCCTCGAGCTCGCGCACGAGCCTGTCCGCTGCGTCGGGGTAACGTTGGCGCAAGACCGGGAGCGCATCTGCCCACGCCGCCCAGTATGCTGCCGGCGCTACCCGCTCAGCTGCCAAGAGGCCAAGACCTCCCAGGCTCGGCGGCAAAGAAGCAACGCTGCGAGCAGCCGCCCAGGCGTCCCCTTCGCCGGGCCCCTGGTCGCCCAGCAAACCTTGAACGACGGCCCAGACCGCGTCGTCGTGAGCGCGAGCGTACGGCAGTATGTCTGCAGGGGGGATGTTGCGGAGCAGATGCTGGGCGTGGGGCGCCGCGCAAAAAGCGAGCTCTGGAGGTCGGGGAGGCGCTCTAGTTTCCGGAGCAAAGTCGTCCTGGGCAGCAAGGCGGTCAGCGGCCTGGGCAGCGACGAAGTCGGGGTGACCGATGGGCACTCCCAGGGCGACGAAGCCACGCTGCGCTGGGGGCAGGTTGCCACACCAAACGTCCCGGCCCAGGTCGTCGATGCCGGGCGGGGCGTCCCCGCCTGCCGCGTTGTAGATCGCGTCTTGCCCAGGTTGGCCTCGACCCCCGCGCCTTGCTCGAC